AAATTCATTAGAGGAATTACCTTACCCATGACCTTAAGTTAGCGGTTGTAATATTTATAATATGATTTGGAGACACTACCTATATGATTCTAAGCTTGAGGTATTTAGTGATCATAAGAGCCTTAAATATTCGTTTGACCCGAAGGAGTTAAATATGAGACAAAAGAGATAGTGGGAATTTCTTAAGGATTAGGATTTTAATCTTAGTTGTTATCTGGGTAAAGCCAATGTGGTGGTCGATGCTTTGAGTAGGAAACCTCTACATTTAACTTCCCTTAAGATTAGAGAGATGGACCTTTTGGCTCGGTCTAAGGATTTAAGTTTGACTTGTGAGATTACTCCTAGTAATGTGAAACTAGGTATGACTCGAGTAACGAATGGATTGTTGAAGGAAAATGGAGAAACATAATTAGTTGATTCATTTTGGTGACAAGACTTGGAGACCGAGTATGAGTACGTAGTGAACTTACATTTAGGCGCTTAATCCTTGGAGAGGGTCATAAAAGTAAAACTAATATTGTGGCAGATGCCTTGATTAGGATGACCATTCACCTATCATCTTTGATGATTTAAAGGTTGGATTTGATTGAAGAATTTAGAGACTTAAGCTTGTTGCATGAGCTTACCCTTAGGAGCATTGAATTGGGTATGTCGAAAGTGATTAGTGAACTAATGGATGAGATTAGAGAAGCCCAGGAGTTAGATCCTTTCTTAGTGAACCAAGTGGAGAGGATTGGTAGGGATATAGACAGCCCTTTTTCGAGTGGGAGTGGAAAGTGTTATTAGGGAGTAGAGAGTAAGATGCATGAAGTTCATCCATTCAGATTTTTGATAAATTTTGGGGACAAAATTTCTAAAAGGGGGGAGAATTGTAACACCCCAGTTTTCATACCTTATAACAAGGGAATGGACTTTTATTATCAAGTAAAGGAGCTCCCAAAGCATGGGAACAACATGTTATGACATAAGAAAGCCCAAAGCCCAATAAGGGTGTTTTAGTAGCCCAGAACGGGTTGTTCCCAAAATGGAACGGGTCGTTCCCAAAACTGGAACGGGGCGTTCCCAACTACTAGAAAGGTCTAAAACCCTAGTTGAGAATGGGTCATCCCAAACATGGCTGTTATGAGTTAAACTCAACTCTAGAACGGGTCGTTCTAGTTTCAGAACAGGCCGTTATAGATGCGAATTTAACACATGATGAGAGGATTTAAAACGGGCCGTTCTAGATCCGAAATGGGTCGTTCTAGCCACTTCTAACATCTATAAATAGAAACTCTAGCACTGCTTCTAAACACATTCTCTAAAGACCAAGGAGAACCAAGAGAAGGAGATCACCCAGATTCTGCTCTAGCTTCATCTTCTGCTTACCCAGGTAAGGGGGGAGTGAGAAGCCTCACTCGGGGGTGTGGGAATAACTGTTGGGTAGCAGGATTGGCCCCCAATCCCTTGCCTGATGAATGCTTCTAGGAACAGAAAAAATACGAAAGTTTTCTGTTTTGCCATCTGAATGTTCTGTTGTGTTTCTTGTGTGATGTTGAGTGTAAATATGTGTTGATTTCAAAATTAGATAAGTTTTGATATGAATTAGAGTGCTCTATGGGTTCCTAAGAGAACCCTATGAGAAACAGATAAATTTCTAATGTTTTCTATTTTGATTTATGTGTTTTCTGTTGTGTTCCTTGATGTTTGTTGGGTGTGAATATGTGTTTGATTTCGAAAATAGATAAGTTTTGATATGAATTAGAGTGCTCTATGGGTTTTTGTAGGAAACCCTATGAAGTGAAATTAGGGATATGATCTTTGAATGAATTTTGAGGCATTATATGTAAAATTGATGATGGATTCGTGTTTTGGATAATATTTGGAGTATTTTGACCGATTGAAATATTATATTAACTGGCTAGTTGTAAAAAAAAATGAGTGAACTCGTGAAGTTGGATTTATTATGACCATTATGTTTCGTATGTTATGAATTGCGAATTGAATGTGTATGATGTTGGATAATTTCTTGGTATGGTTTATGTGTTATTCTGATGTATATGTCCATGATAAGTTTCTTGTATAAGATTATGTGAATATGGTGAGACAATGTGAAAAGTGAATGAGACACAAGATATGATGATATGTGATAATGAGACATGATATATGAGAAATTATGACAAGTGAAATGATGAGTCAATGAAGTGTGAATGTGTGACATACATCATGTGATAAATGTTTTAAGGGTACGATATGGAATACACTGCCAGGAAAGGCCTCCTTGTGTAAAAACTTGGGGATTAGTCCTTGGAGATAAATCGATTTGTAAGTCCCAGTCTCGCCCATTGTGTGCATGAGATGTATCTTTCGCGGCTTAACTATCCAGACTAGAGCCTGGTAGTATGTCCTTGTAGTGAGAGTGCGCAGAGGGTGTGACCCTGCATGTACTCCTAGACTACTCTACGTGTGTTGCTAGGGATAATGCACCATGTTATTTGTGATGGTCTCCACATGCATGCACTTGTGAGTCGAGTCCATGGGATCATTACATAATGAGTGACTATGTACGTGCTACTAATGTATGTATAACTTGAGTTGTGCTTGATTAACGTGTGTTTATGATGTGCTTTGTTATGATTTGTGTGTGTTGCCTGACCGTTATATTTACACCTTAACCTAAGTGAGATGTTTCTCACTCCCCTATTTGTTCTATGTGTGTCTTCTACTGTGTTGCGGATGACCATTAACATGAGGATGTTGGTGATGAAGCTTAGGCTTCAGTTGGGCGTGCTCTGATAGGATATGTGACATCGGGACGTTGTTAGGATTAACTTAGAATGCTACTTTTGTTAAATTGATTAGAAGACCTTAATTTTATCCTTTTGTAATTTTCACATTAGACTATGATTTATGTTTTATGAATGTGAGCTCTTTACCCTTATGTGGTTAGAGACTTGGATTTTATTTATGAAGGTTTTTATTTATCTCTATTTATTGTATAATTATGTATGTGGGGCAGAGGGTGTCACAATATTCATCATCCTCATTACAAACTACATTTCCACAACTTAACCTTTCAAGGCATTGTATGATCCAAAGATCCTATCTAGAGTTATATATATGATATCAAGTTGATTTTAATTTTATTAGAAATTTAATACAATTACCTCTAACTTCTATATTGACCTTAAGAGCTAAATATGTCATGTACTATTTTAAATAAATACAAAACAACAACATTTTAGCCTAAATCTGATAGTCTAACCTTTTCTCACTAATTTGAGCATAACTTGAGTTCTAGACCTTTTTTTTAGGTGATTGCAATGGAATTTGAAATTTAACATCCAAGGCTACAACTTTCATGAAGATCACAAAACCTAATTCTTCCATTTAAGTCTACTTTAAAAGCTTACAATGTAAGCACGTTATATTTCACGCATAAAATATGATGTTCATCTTTTAACTCACATAACTCGATCATTTCTTGACATTTTTATGCGATTCTTGAGTATAAATTGTAGCCTAAATGTCTACTTTCTAACCCAACAATAAGAACTCAATTTCATTAATCACAGGCACAGAAATCAGATATATACCTAGGTATGTTCTTACCATAATTTTCAAAACAAGGTGCAACTCACACCCAAATTCTTTTCTCCCTAGCTAATTAGTATAAACATAGATTAAAGTCTAATACTACTCTATTATACCATCAATTACAACATGAACTTCACATTTTAATTACATACTCCTATTAACTATTCACATAATAACCATTTAGGATTCTCACAAGAACCAACAAACAATCCAAATTTCACAATTATATGTTTAATCATGATATTAAAGACATATACAACTACACCACATCAAATAGAACAATAAAGAATCATATGGAAGATAAAAAAAAAAATACATAATGAAATCAATTGGGGAAAGTCCTTTCATACAATACAAGCAACAGAGAAAAGATTGGGGTCGATCTCACTACCTAACATACATCTCATGTTTAGAGCAAGACTACTCACTCCCTCTTACCTCAATGAATGTTTGATGAAAAACGCAAATCTTCGAGGTGTTTTCCTACGAGCCTTGATTTTCCTTCCCATTCTTCAAAATAATAAAAAATAATAAGCGTAAAATTAAAAGAATTGTTAACCCATTTTTCAAAACTTAACTCACACTTAATCCTTTATAAAATACTTTAACCATGATTATCTTTTTCTTTTCCTCAAATATTAAAGCTTATAAAAATATATAATATATCAAATAAATATATTTTTTCCAATCTAAATAATTATAACAAAATAAAATAATTAATAATTAACAAATACATAATATATAAAATAAATCTATTTCTTTCAACACAATTATAATTAAAAATAAAATGTATAAACAATTATAATAAAAGACATATTTTTTTCCGTCTCTAATAAATATTATTCAAAATAATTTTCATAAATATTTATTATTTAATTAAAATATTCATAACTATTAAAAACCTCTAAAGTATTCTATAAAACCCATTTAATTAATTAAAACAATTATAAAAAAATAATCTTAATAAATATAAAATTAAATAATAATTAAATTATTATATTAATAAAAAATTTGAGATATTACATCCCATCTGCTATATTATATAAATTAATATATATAATACTATGTATGTTGTTATATAATATATATTGTTATATATTTTATAAATTAATATTTAATAGTATATAAGTGGGGTAAAAGAACGTATATTTGTAGTTTTATCCCTTTATGAAATTACTAAAATAATAAGAATCAAATTTTATAATTTATCCAAACATCAAAGGGGGGAAACCTATCTTTTTTCCATAATTTTCCTTTGCATTCTAATTTATCCATAATTGTCTGAGTTCTCCACCATTCAAATCTTAAACCTTACTGGTTCTATCATACTACAGTTCAGACGGTCCCTTTCATGTAAATTTTATTTTCAAATGGGATCATCTCTCCAATTTCTCTGTAAAATACAAAACTAATAAATATCTTGGGCTTTTCCACTCTCAACTCATGACAAATATCTTCTCAAAACCGCTTAGAAAACTTAGTAAACAGACCATTGAGTGACGAACATAAGGAGTATGTCGGTTGTGGTCTCTGGTAGTTCTTTCTTATTTTGGTCAAAGACTTCTCAAGTACATGGCCATCTGAATTTCAACAAACCCATGCCAAGGTATTACTTTGTTAAAGAGTTCCAGAAAGTAACCACTTGAAGCATAAATTACATATTTAGCATGTTCTTGTATGTTATTTGTCTTGTGTTTTTATACTTATTATTAACTTGTCTTGAAGATGGAGGAAGAACTTGGCTGTAATAAGATGTTGTAATAGAGGAACATGGGATACACCAACAGCTCAAAATAATTACTATGAGTTGCTTGGAGTTTCTGTTGATTCAAATGCCCATGAAATCAAAGAAGCTTACCGGAAGCTGCAAAAGAAGTATCATCCGGATATTTTTGGCCAAAAGGTAACTCCTCTGTTTTTAATAGTAATTTAATTTACCAGTAATTTTTGTCTAGCGTGGATCATGATGTGAAGATTGAACTTCTATTGTAGGGTCATGAGTATACTCTAATGCTAAATAAGGCTTACGAAGTGCTGATGACAGAAGATCTAAGGAGAAAATATGATGAATCCATAGGTCAGATGAGGCTAAGATTTGGGGAAAATAACACCTCATTGGGTTACAGCACTTGGAAAGGACCCTTAAGGCCTCAAGCCTTATTTGTTGATGAAAATGCATGTATAGGTACTTTTTACAAACAAACAAAAAATCCAATTTTCAATCAAATATTAGATTCATGCTTCCATAGTTCCTTTGCAGACGAGAAAAAGATATTGGTATTAATAGTTGCAATGGAGAGTAGTTAACTACGATAACAACAAATGGAAAATTTTGGACATTTTGGTTTCAGTATTCCACTTCTACCCCTTTCATCCTATTGTTACCAGGATGCAGAGAATGCGTGCATCATGCAAGTCATACATTCACCATGGATGAAGCTCATGGATGTGCGAGGGTTAAAGTTCAATATGGAGACAACGACCAAAGTATTGAGGTAGCGTGAACGGTCCAATCCATGTGTAAAGATAAAATTAGTTTATGTGTAAATTAAGTTTTTAAAATATGTTTGGAATTTAGTTATAAGTTAATTTTAGTTTATAAAAAAAAATTATTTTATTTTCTTTTATTTTCATAGAAATGTTTAAGGAAAATTTATCTTCCAACCATATACCATATATTGTGAATATATGACACAAGAAGAAAATGTCAGGTGTCAGTTGAGTCATGCCCTGTGAATTGCATACATTGGGTGGAGAGAGAAGAATTGGCGGTGCTTGAGTTCCTGATCCAGCCTCAGCCAAAGGATGGGTATGGTGTGTTTGGAGGAGGTTGGGAAAAGCCTGCAAATGTGTTCACTGCAGCCAAGTCTTTCAACAAACAACTCAAGAGGAAGGCTGCAACTAGACCCAATCAAAGTCCCGGTAGAAACTCATGCATTTTTTTTTTATTGATCAAACTGATATTTCATATATATATATATATATATATGTGTGTGTAGTGTAGGAATTCGTTTCATTTAGGTAGACTTACTCCATTCAATAATTCGTGTTTTACATCAAATTTCAACGATTCAACCGTTAAATTTAAAGTTCTTAATGTATAGATCAAGTTTGTAAATTTTTAAAAATTTTAAAAATTATTTGATATTTCATTTTATTAATTTAAATTAATGGATAATCATAAAAATATTTTATACATTGATTTTAATTAACAAAACGAAGTATCAAATGTTTTTCAAATTTTTTAGAAATTTGTAAACTTGATTCATACATTAAAAACTTTAAATTTAATGGTTTGATCGTTGAAATAATGTAGAACATAAGTTATTGAATAGAGAAAATTTATGTAGATTTACTATTAGAGTAAACAGATTTTCTCTCTCTATATATACAAAGAAATTTGTATTAATTTATATGTATGTCTGCCATGTAAATAACTATTTTTGTTCTTTCTTTTATTCTGTTTTCATGTAAATTTTATTCTACAAGTCACTCATACCTCTCGATTAAGCACACCTATTATTATATAACTCTTATCATTTATTCTTTTAGGTTTAAATATATATTTAATCTCTTAAATTTAGGATAAATTTATTTTAATTTTTTAAAATTTAAAATTATTATTTTTATTCTCTATACTTTTTAAAAGAGATAAATTAAGACAATTATACAGTATTAGTTGAGTTTAATGTGATATTACACAATGATATTTGACAAGTTCTTTAACAAAATTTGAATATAAAGATTAAAATAATACTTTTGAAATTATAGGAAAAGAAAAGATAAATTTTAAATTTGAAGAATAAAAATAAATTTATCTTATATTTAAGAGATTAAAAACATATTTAAATTTATTTTTTATTTTTATTTTTATTTTTATTTTTTAAAAAAAATAAAGAGCGACAAAGTGTTTTTTTTTTCACCATCTTACTACATGTTAGATTTGTTTAATGACTAAAAATGATTGTTGCCTGTCTCCTTGCTGCAGGAGGGACTGTTGAAGAAAGCCCTGCTCAAGCTGAAGCTCGAGCTCGTGCTGATATGAAGATAAAGATGGAGAGTTTCTTGAAAATTTGGAATTGGGTCAAACAAACCTTGGGCATGAATATTAACTAGGGTAAAATCTGGATAAATTTGTAGAAGAAAATTGCAAAAAAATAAGAATAGATTAGAGTGATGCAGTTGAAGCAGAAAGTTTATACAAATTCGAACATAGAATGACGTGTCTTCTTGAGATAAGGAAACAAGGTTAAGTGGAACTACTAATGTAGCTCTTACAGTTACAACTGTTTTAAGTTTCAAATCTAAAATTAATGAATTCATGGTTAGTGTGATTTAGTTCTACAAGATGCATCACTCTGCTTTTAGATTGTATACTTTGTGCGAAGCTTTTTTTGTTGCCATAGTAATAGTATCTCCTCATTTACTGATTAAATATCCCTTTGGGGCTACAAAAGAAATCCAACCATTGTCAAATTGAACTATCTCAACCTCCTTGCATAGACATTCAATCTTTGCCAAACAAACTCCATTTTATAAATTATCAATATTTAAAAATGTTGTTAATCTCAATGTAAATTATAAAATATTTAATATAAAACAAATAAATTTAAAATGAAATTTATATTAAAAGATATTTATTTACTATAAATTTTAATTATAATATAATTTATATATTTAAAAATATTTATTTATTATAAATTTTAATTATAAAAAGTAAACATTTATTTGTACATCACATTTACACACATACATTAATATACTAGCTTAGTTTCCAACTATCAGTTTATCTTGTGTAATGTACATGATAATTTTTTTTCTTTTTGGCAAAATTATATTTTCAATCTTACTATAGTATATTATTTGTAATTTTGATCTTTTTTATTTTTAATTATACAATTTTAGTTTCTCTATTTTATAAACTCTGCAATTTTAATCTTCTTATTAAAATTTCATTTGTTAATCACTAGAATTGTAACAATGGTCACGACCTAACACATGGTAGAATGTAGATGACTACACGATTACTATTTCATAATATTTGAGCTAAATTACAGTTTTAATTTCTATTTTTAACTCATTCTCATCTTGATTACTATTTTTATGACATAAAAATAGAGCTAAAAGTAAAATTTGTCATAGATATTTTTAAATATTAATTATCATGTCATTTATTTAAATTTGGATCATGACCAAATCTTATAGTTTAAATGATCAACAAAACAAAATTTAACAAGGGGACTTAAATTGTAGATTCTATAAAATTTGAGGGCTAAAATTACAAAATTACAAGTTGGAGGACCAAAATTGTTGATTGCAAATTATAAGAGGACCAAAAGTGAAATATAGCCATATTTTTATGGAATTGAGGGTCAATCTCTCTAGGGTCCTAATTTCGTCAAATAGAAAACTTATGGGATTGAGGGTCAATTCCTCTACCCTTCATGCATACACCCAAATCCCAAGAATGAGTGTTCTCACTTCGCTCTACAAAAACCTTTCCAAATGCGTGCGTGGCGCGTTTTGACAGCCCTTCGCTCTACAAAAACCTCACTATCACTCAAAGGTTCATATAGAGAGGGGGGAAGCTATGCACCTTTTTTTTTAAACCTTGGCCAGAGGGTTTCTTATATAGCCAACTAGGAGACAAAAGCAAACGAGAGTTATCCGATGTGAGACTAAATTTTATAAAAATACCATATTTTCCTAGGTACCGTGCAGGACCTTTAGAGAACTCGTTAACTGTCGGATCATGCTGGATTTTTTATGGTATCCTCAAAATATATTGATCTTCAATTTCAACAGTTGGATCGTTAAAATTAGGTCTGTAGTGAGAGATAAAATCATAACAAAAATGTTGTCTACTATAGGATTCATATTTTCCAGCTGCAATGCGAGACCTCTAGAGAAATAATTAACCATTGTATCACGCTAGAAATTTGATGATATCTTCTTAAGACATTGATCTTTAACTTCAATAATCGGATCGTGAAAATTAGGTCTTTAGAGGGAGATATTATCAAAACAAAAATGTTGCCTGACGCAAAAAATTTTGGAAAGCGAAACAGGTCGTTCCGGTTTTGGAATGGGTCGTTCCAACATTGGGAACGGCCCGTTCCAATTTGGGAACGACCGTTCCGCGCCCGAAATCAGTTTTCTTGAGTTCTTTTGGGCCTTTTGGATCCATATTGGCCCATTTTGGTGCTCTATTGGGCCCTTAGGGGTTATACATACTACATTTTCCCCAACTGTAGTACGAGGCTTTTAGAGAACTCGTTAACCGTTGGATCATGCTGGAATTTGGATGAAATCTTCTTGTCTCCAAATTCCAAAAGTCAAAAATGATATTAATTAAGACAAAAAAATTAGAAGAGAGCTAAAACATCTATATACTCACAATTTTCCTTTCAACATCTCTCGATTTTATATCCGTTTTACAAAATCGAGTGCAATGGGGATAGTTTCTTATTTTTTTGAGATGATCATAATCCTTCTCCAACTACTTGGTCTTTCACCTAGCCCTTCTGTTCAGGAACCATATAGCATAAAATTCTGTTTCAAAACATGCTTCTGCACTTTAAATTGGAAGGGAGAATTCAAGAGTCAAAAAGTAGGAATGAGAATATGATGAGTCTAGGCTAGTCTCATTACAAGAAAAACGCAAATTTTCAATGGAATTTCTGATGGATATGTTTTCGACGAAAAAATTTTGATAGAATATTCTGTCGAAAATTTCTTATTTTTAATTTTTAATTTTATTTTT